CTTGCTTTTGCAAAAGGTTTCATTCAAATGGGTATACAGATAGCACTACTACAGTGATGTTATGCACCATTTAATGAGACATTGTAATGCAGGCCCAGTGACAGAATATTCTAGGCCTGCCTAGATGTACATTGAGCACGGCAGTGCGGAAGTATAAAGTTTTGTCTGATCTGTGATTCCACAGCCCCCCCCCCCCGCTCTATTGCGGTTAAACTTTAGTTGCTTTTCAAGTTTTATTTAATTTTTCAGTTGGGTCATTTTTTTTAAGGGTTGATGAGTTTTTTGGTTTTGATACTTTCATGTAGAATTGATGTGTGAGTCCCTATTGATTCAGTTCCCTGCAACTTTGCTGTTGAACATTCTTCAGTTAGTCTGAGTTCCTCTCATTGTGATAGCTTGCCATGTTTCAGGTCTGCCTTGTAATCTAATGCACCCTGCCGGTATACGCCTGCATTGCATTGGCACACTTTGATGCTGGACTCCACACCTGCATACACACCTGGCAGCTGGCAATCAGGTAAGAGATGACTGGACATGGAGACATGTAAACTTAGTCTGGATATGACATCATGCTCATGCACACATATATGTAATTGACACCTGCTACCCCTTTTGATTTAATCGCAATTAGGCAGCTGTGGTGGCTTCACCCTCCATCCATGAAAGGGAAAAAAGAGGGGAAGACATTTTTTAAGGGGGGGGGGGACTGCGAGGCATGAAAAGCAATGGAAGGTTTTATGTCACTGTGTGTGGGGGAGGGGGAGATAACCTTTCCCCTCCCCTATAGGGTCAGGAAGATCAGACATAAATTAAATAATGTATCTGCTTCAGCTGAAAATCTGACCTTATTTAAAATAAAGTTGAAGTTACCACTTGGTGCAGCCATCAAAAAAACTGTACTGTTTTGTCTTAATTTCTGTTGTCTTAGAGAAGTAAATTAAAAACTTAAGAGACTCCACAGTGCCGGATGTTATACACTTTGTAGATATGATGACAAATATTTTCTGGCTGAGAACATAACCGATGGTAAACCTGTCTTGGGGTATAATTTCCCCAAACATTTACTGATGAAAACCACAACTTTGAATCTGAACATTTCTTTTGCAGCTCCTTGAAAATAACAACATAAAGATTAATATTTGTCGTGTGAAAATGAAATGTTTTGTTATAAATGGGTGAATTAGTTATATCATTTTATGATTATTCTAATTTCACAGATCAAGCCCCTTATTGTCATAATATCTGCTCTTGGAACATTGATGAAGGTCCAAGCAAGGCAGTCAGATTGTGGAATCAAAGTGAGGGCCAGCAGTCTACAGCCTGTAGAAGAGGAGTTTTAAAACAGTGGTGAAAACTGCATGTATCACTTTGCAAATACTGACCTTGACCCTGACCCTGCCAGATGCAGCATTCTGCAGCAGATATAAAAGTCTGATGCACTATATTGATACACTGGGCAATCAACAGCAGCCAAACAAACTGGTCATGTTGAGACGATGGGAGCTAGTCTCATTGAACAATGCCACTGTTGGATCTTGTGGTGGCTGGCAACCACAGACTCCATCCTAGGCTGTTTGGCCTCGGGGAGAGTTGACCTGTAGGATCTTGTTACACTGGGCAAGCAAATTACTTTGACAAATGATGCAGAATGATGTTGTCTGGCAGGGTTTCTAGCCAAACAACCCTGAACAGTTATGCTTGTTTTAATTATGAAAAGGCTTTGGAATCATTCATATTAATTGACAGAAATGAGGCCTTTCAATTTCTCCAGTCCAGTTAACTTTTTCTTTATTGTTAGGGCAATTGTTTGCAAGTGGAAGGAAGCAGAGATGGTAGTGAGAGTGGAAGAAACGTGCTGTCCATCCAGGAGAAGTCTGACTTCTGCAGTGACTGTAAGTTGTCCTTTCACATATTGAAGATGATGTTGAGGCCATACATTGATGTCACAAACACAGGCACAAAGTATAACTTCAAGGCAATTTCAAATAGACACTCAAGCCAATTAGAGTCATAAGATATTACCTGACCCAAATCACTTTCAGGTTTGACAACTTAATGCTGCCTTTAAAGTTTGTAAGTCAATAAGAGTAAACAAGCTCTGTACTCAAACCCACCAAGTTGTGTAGGTGCACCCAGATAGTTTCGGCACTTGGGGTATTTTTCCTGAACTAATGCATACTGTTGGGGCAAGTGCTTTTACCCTGCCATAGGCATTATTTATTGCATTTAGGGCAAAAATGGTTCTGTCAGTTTTCCTTTCTCTCGAAATGTCACTTTCTGTGGCCCTGTCAGGTTGCAGCTGTCGAGTAATCTTTCCAAGTACTGATTTAACTTAACAATCACCATTGTGCAGTTAATTTGTGTGTTCATTTGACCCTAAAAGAACCAGAGAGTAGATCTGCCCCCTCGAGATTTGTCTGATATCGCCACAGTACTGTAGTCGAGCCTTCAGGAGTTTTTCGGTAACTCTTTTGTTGTCTTTTTGACACTAATTCTGTGAAAATCCCACATACATGTATCTTTCAAGCACCCCTTTTTCCTGAAAGAAAATGCAAAAAAAAAAGGCTGGTCTGAGCCAATTTGGCTCATCAGGCAGCTTGTTTATTGCGGTTTCCTTGGCATGAAAGGACCAAGAATATTTCTTTTTCCCCCTGGATGGGATGCCAATCAATCACAGGCTGCTTCCCCAGCTAATGTTAGTACCCATTTCTACTTCTAGGTGGAGAGAGGCAAGCAGGGGTGAAGTGGCTTACCAAGGGCCACAGGATACTGCCAGCAGCTGGATTCGAACCTCCATCCCTATGATTGGAAGCCACAGACTCTAACCACTTTTCCATTTTTTTACGAGCCAAGCCTTTAGTTGCATATAGCAGCTTTTTACAGTCACTTGGACTGCAGTTCTGTGAAAATCACACATACTGTTGTAGTGGATTCCCTCATTTAATTTCTTTGGCCGAAGCATGCGGCCAGGTGGTTGTAAATGAAAAAAGCCTGACTTCAGTAGGAGGAACATTTTCCTATACATTCTCCGTGACCCTTGGAGCGTAGCGTGTCCATAAAAGGCCTATCTTGAACAACACAATCCATACACACGCTCTCCACTCTCTGCTCTTGACAACTGCGCTGAGGCATCAAAGTCCTTACGTCGGAGTTTTGTCCTTCACGGCTGCATGGGCTTTGGAAACTGGTTCAGTGACGTTTGTCCCTCACAACTGACGGGTCCACGTAGCCGAGTCCTGGCTACCTTGTCTACAGTTTGACGGTAACATTTAATTTATATGCTCTGCAGGTTACGAGCAGTTTTTTATTGATTTTGGTTATGCCTCAACAGCAGCAGGCTAGTTTTTATTTCAACTCGGCATTTGCGAGTTATTTTGATTCAAAGTTCAAATTAAAATATTACCTTCACTATACTTGCCCCAAAAACTGTGGCGTCCGACGTCCGCTCCACTCCCACGAAGCGGACGTCGAGCGCCACAGTTCTAGGGGGAACATTATACTGTTCTCATGCAGCACCCTCTCTTCCCCAAAACAGGTCGACCAAAAACAGGGTGGCTGGCACGCTTGTAATCTTCAACTTTAAATGAAAGTATCAACTATAAGTTGTATGTCAGATTGATTCGAAACTCCACATCTGTAGTGATAAAGGAGCATTTTACATGCACGCCGAGTGTTGAAAAAAATCGGGTTGGGACGGCCAAGATCTCAGCTGTGAGATGGTACAAAATAACCCGCCAACTTCTGGGTTAACACTAGAATAAAAATTGACAGAACTTGGTGACATTGATTGGTTTCAATGGTTTGCAATCCTGGCAGGAGGAATTTCCGTTGTGTTTGCTGCATCAGAGGCTCCGCTATAAAATGCTCACCAACCATAGAGGGCGCTATTACCATTCCATAAAGCCTGCTACATCACACAACAG